TATATATATATATATATATATTATAGCAAGCACAAGATGTTATGTGATAGGAACAGAATTTCGCTGCCCTTACCAATAAGACTGAGCTTAGCTTTAGTGCAGTTCTGCTCTATCGAATTTCTTTTGTATTTGTGTCTATCGGGAGCAGTTTTATTGCCAAAAAATGCCAAAGCATTAGGACTACTTCGACCCATTTCTGTTCAACGACATTGAACCTCTTAAATTTGTCGAGTAAAACAGATTTTGAAATCGGCCGCTCTTCGGACGATTATGGCCTATGTTGACTCAAGCTTTAAATTAGCCAAATCATATTAGATAAGCTAGTAATACCACATACCTATGCAAGAGAACAAGATGACCCCTGAAATAAAGTTTGGCAGGCGAAAAAGAAGTAAGAAGCAGCACCCGAAAAAGGTTGAGCTGCTGGATAACTTCAAGGTGACCAAGAAGCATCACGAAGAACCGACTTTGTGTGCTGAAGTCAAATTACTGTACTAGGTAACGACCTCCCTGCCATCTCTATCTACCAACAACTATCGTTACTTAGGCTACATGGTGCTGAGCTAGATATCCGCCCTAGGAAGCTATAGGTTTTTGTAAGAAAAAAGAGGATGTCGTCAAACTTAAGTAAAAACAGAAACTAAACGGCCGATAAAAGAATTAGGCAAAAACGCATCATCTGCTGAGGTCACCTATCCTACTTAAGCGGTACGATGGCACAACTCTCTTTATTCACACAAATCGTTTAGTGTTTATATGCCATCGTGTCGTAATATGAATATTTCAGCGGTCTCAAATCGTTCTTGGCATTATTTACGATGAAGAGAATATTTTTATAGGATACTATTTTTATAATATCATTTGCTTATTAGCTACATCTCTACAATCAAACACAAGGAAGAGACGGAATGGCAAAAACGATTAACTGTTCCACTTAAATGAATTAGTGCCCACATAATGGCTGTGGAGTCAATCAGGTGGCTCGACAAAATACAAACTCTTCCAATACTTTACTAAGCTGGCCTTAGCTATCAACAAAGAAGTGTACCATCTTTGCGCAAAGTTTTATATTTTCGACCCCAAATCGAAGATCGAATCAGCCTTATGCAAACTTGATTGTCTAACAAAAATTAAGCATCTGGCTGCGGGCATTGGACATAATCGCAGCACGCAACACATGTCTTCTATACAAGATGGTGTTAACAGAAAACTATTCACATCCAGTGCTTTACCGTATATCCAGCTAGGGCGATACACTATTAACTCGCCGGGGTCAGGAGCGAACAATTTTTCAAAATGATAGCAGCACTCTTGTCCTATCAGAGCGAAGGTTATTGGTCTCCGAGTTTGATGTATCTTCGTCCTTCAAAGGCAGCTGACGCAAGCTCGAAGCACAAGCCAAATCCAGAGGGTTACAAGTCAGTAAGAGAGAACTGAATTCGGCCCTTCCAGCCGGGCGCGCCAAAAGATCCGCACCCTATTGCCATGAACTGATATAGACACGGGTGAGTCTTCACCAACCCGCTGCGCAAAAGAAATTCATTCATTGCTATGTTAGCCTAATAGAGGTGATTCTCGTTCAGCCCGGGTTGTACTTACTCTTCCCACTGAATATGACACTTCTCCGTGGCCGTGGCTATCACAGCCAGATCGACTCACTCGTTTACAACTGCATCTAAGCACATTACTTCTAGATCAAAGAACGTTTCTTGTAAACAATGTCAGAGCTGATCAGTGGCAATTCATCTGAAAGTACTTAATCGTACATTGTATAATCGTAACGCATAGTATTGAGCACAGGAGCTATCTTGATCTGGGTACGGACTGATGTTTTTAATAATTTCTATAATTAACTTAATTTGTATAACGACTAAGCTGTGTTCACCGTTGCTTAAAATAAGCACCGTTTGTAAGAAATACCTAGGTTTATTAATGCGCATAAACCTATTGGGAACAGGAACGAAAGCACATACCCCGCAGCGCATTTTGTGTCATAACTCATGAAATCAGTGCTGTGCCTATATATTTGAATAGATTTAAAAACTAATAGGCGTTATACTTATTAAAAAAGATTTAACGTTAATTATGCTTCGAATAGAAAACGACAAATTTTAAAATATATAGTATTATACATGCATAAACGGGTAGTAATTTGTGCCTGAATCAGCAAACGAGATGTTTGTACCACATACGGTTAGTGGTCACAATCCGTCGATCAATGCTTTATTATCAGTTTCAATAGCAAGTACAATTTATTCAAATTTTCAATTACGGCCGAATCAACGTGTTTTTCAGCAGGACCAGATATTGAAAATTAATCTCTGCAAAAATACTGTCCTTATTAATTGGCGGTGGTTATTTCGTAGCGATAGATGCATTAGCTAACTCTCCAATCGTTTGTGGCTGGTAAAATTTTCAAAATTGACCAGCAGATGTCTTTAGCGAGAAATTCCAAGTATTGATCAATATTGCTGCAAGACTTGAAGCAATCATACCGGTTGACTATGGCAGGTCTTTAATCGAGTGACAACAAATTAGAAGGCGAAACTTCGTTTCTTACACACACGGAAAAGAGCGCAAACATTAACCTTTCACCTGTCCCAGATTGTATAGTGGCATAACACATTTTAGTGCATTTTACATTAGAAGAAGACAAAGTCAAATCCTCTGCCTTTATACTACTGTTTTTAATTGCCAACTTCTGTGTAGTTACGTCTTGTGTCGGTTATTTTCAACGTTAGGACTTTTTTACTGGACGTAGATCAAAGAACGCCTCGACTCTTCTCTCCGTTTTCTTCTTTCAGTTAATTCGTTTGCAAAATACCTTCAGGCTACCTCTAGGTTATTATCAATTTCTCGTACACATTTCTAAGTTTTGAGCGTTGTAGCAATTTCTTCGGTAAGCGTTCACTGCTTAGGAAATACACGACCGTACAAGTTTCTTAAGTTGAAATCCACACGAAATAATAAAGACAGATTTTTTCATCTAAGCAATTGATTCCTACTAAAAAAATACAGTTTTCATCTAAAAGGAAGCGAACTTGAATACAAAATTGCCCAGTAACGGTTGCTTCACTTATTTAAACTAACAAAAACAGAAGTAAGATGTGCCTTATGCCATTTAGTTACGTCTCCAAACTTCTTGAAACATCGATATTAAAAAACACTTTGATAAGGTATTCAACTTTGATTTTTTAATAAAATTAGTTGCTCTCCTATTAAAAGTAAGATGTGTTTTTCTAATTATTATCGGTGTTTATTAATAGGAATAAAAATAGAGAGATTTTGGGGGAGCCAAAAAGAATCATTTAAAGTGAAACAGTAAGTTAGCGCAAAATGCCCTTATCAATTATCCGGTTAAGGATTTATCGAACACAATTCTGAAGTGTTTCTTATTAAATTGATCCACAAAATATCCCGACTTTCTATTTTTGCCAACACCATTATTATTTCTTGTATCGCGAGACATGGGAAGGTTTATCTTAGGACGGTTCTCCTTAAAAATATATTTAATTACAAATCCACGCACGTTACAGACTGGTCAACCCTTTTGTTAATTAGCGATTTTGTAATAATAATCTAATAATAATTAGCAAAATTTTAAATACAGCACGCTCCATCCGCACAAGAAAATGTTCAAGATAAACCTAAATAAATTTCTATAATATAACAATACCAGTATCGATTAATTCGCTAAAGCCTAATCAAAGAAAACCGCCCGCAAAAGATGCCCCAAAACACGCATGCATTCATTCCAAGATGGCGAATCGCATAGAATCCGTTTTGTATGATTGCTGCTGTGTCGTCGGGAACACTTTAACGAAATATTTTAATTTTTCATTTATTTTTATTAAATGTTATATAGTAAAATATGCTTACACGTGAAAACGTACTGTGAAAGCATTATGGAGCAGAAATTGCCCAAAGTGGACTCGTGTCAGTATTATCGCCAAACGATTATCAAGTGACGTAGTGAATAGCTGGATCTCGCGGAAATCAAGAACTTCAAATATCTCAATAGTACAGCAACTTATTGAGAATTTCAAACTTTTCTACCTAATCCATAGGTATGTAATGCAACCAAAAGCGATTATTTGCATAGCAATCGGCTGGAATTTGCTTGGCTATCGAATAACTTGTACTCACTCAAACTGACAATCGAGCTCTCGGTTTTCCGTGAGCACAATTCGATGTAAATGCGATGACGGTGTTTTCATGTTATCTCCGCAAAGTACACTACAGTACCTAAGAAACTGGTAGAAAATAGTGGGGGTAGAAAAGGCATTGGCAGGGTTTTGGGCAGGATCCTGATTTTAGTTCGTGTTGGCTGTCACGGAAACAGCGCATTCAAAAGGGACGACGACGAGTAGGACGTCAGTATGGAGGAGCCCCGTCGGGTAATGATCTGCCGGAAGGTAGTCGGCACTGACGGGGTTGCTCGAGTAGTGCTAGAGCCCGCCGAAAACGTTCCAAGTCCCATACAAACTCAACAAACTGTCACCGATGAAGACGACAATGGACTTGAGGTAACTGTCGACACAGAATCATTGTTTATCGTGACATAGTCGATATTGTTTTATGGTACTATTTGTTATTTATGTATAAACATTTATTGCGTTAACAACTGTCAAACAGCGCTGCAGTGCTTTTGTATAATGGACCTTTGTTTTACATGAATAAACATTTATTGCATCAGCCAAGGATTCGTTTTATTGTGAAAACTTCTTTGTTTATTAGTGATGCTCTTAATGGCAACAATTGCAGTCAAATAAAATGATCAATATTAATTACCGTCTCAATTAAGCATGTACAAAGACAGCGTCGCGGAGCTTTTTAATAATGAAAATTGTATTGTGGTATTCAAGTATCCCCCGGTTTTGTATATTTCATTTTGGGAGGTCGAATCAGTGCAATCAATGGACTTTTTAGTTTGATGAGCTAATAGGTTTTCAAGTTTTACATTAAAACATTCTGAGCAGCGTCCGGTGTTGGCATTAAGCATTGATTTAGACTACCTGAGCTAATTATAAGCAGAAGGGTCATACATAGTCTCTTAGACTAACATATTCACTGATCTTATATACCTTAAAATTAAGTTAATCAAAATAAGAAATCCCCATATGACAAAATGAGGAGGCTTTGTATAAGCTGATAACATTTTCTATAAACAGATATTTTTCTATCCTTATGTTATTGACACAAATATTGCGAGTATATGAACGTCGGCGGACTCGAATCAACTTTGCACCCAAAAAGATAAAATATCGACCCTCATTTTACTCCGTTAATAAAAATAATGTCTCACGATTGAATTCTGCTTGTTTAGTTCCTCCCTCTGAGAACGTATAATAATTTTCTGCGTATATCTTAATTAAGAAAATATCAATTGCTCGTTTTTTTAGGATGACACCCTTCGGGATATGCCATCGCACGAAGCTGGCGGAAAGGCGCAGAAGCCTTTCATTCAGTGCGAGATCTGCGGCAAGAAATTCTACGTCACCGACACGACATACAAGCGAACGCCGAAAGAACGCCTGACCCTCCATATCGTTACAGAGCATGATAAAGAGCGCCTGTACCAATGCGACTCTCCAGGATGTTTCAAAGCATACAATAATGTCAAACAACTGAATCAGCACAGACTGGTAATGTTATAAAAGAATACGGTTATTTTTTTCGCTATACTGATATCGCTTCTATTGCTGTTTGTAACATCGATCAATTTTATTATACATCTCTGCATATAAACATCTGATTTGAACTGCTGTAATGAAGTAGTGATACGTCGGCGCAGGCCAGGCCGTAGCTTGTATTATGAGAACGATAATGATGATGATGAACAACAAATAAATAACAACGTGAATTTTTCTGGGATCTTCTTTTAAAATATTTTATTTCTTTTTCTTACCCTCGATTTCCATAAGGTCCATACCAATAAGAAAAATCATAAATGTCCAGACTGTCCCAAGCGATTTCATAGAAAAACTCATTTATTGGCGCACATGAGGCGGCACAACGCCAATCCAAATTTTAAGCCAAGGGCCAGTCGACGCCAATGTAACCCTTACATTCAAGTCCAGAGAAAGAAGAATGGACAGCCTGTATCGGAACCGACAACAGGAACACCCCCAGCAACGACAGCCACGACGACATACCAGATCATAGAGGTAACTATTACAGTACGGTGGAGTATGTAAAATTGTTTAGTTTTTATCGTTAGTTTCTATTATATACTTTTAAACTGAAGTCTGAATAGTACTTTCGCCACAGGCAAGTCTATTTTACATAAGCTGAGTATGAGCTTCAATTTTTGTTAAAACATTCAAGCTCATGTGTTTTTCAAGGTACATCCGCCCGTATTTCAAACCGCATTCAAACAATGTAAATTATTTCCAGTACGTAATTATATCACAAAACAAATTCCTGTAAGGGTATTACTATCCGTTGCCTCTTTTTCACAGGCTGCCAGCAATAGCATAGCGCCAGTAGGTACTACAATGGTTGTTGTCACAGAAGAAGAACTCGAACAAATGCGTCGCCTTGGTGGAGAAGTTGTTGATCGCGAAACGGTGATGGCCTACAACGAAGTTGATGGCTCTGACCAGATCGAAGAAGACGAAGACGAAGAAGCCGTACTCGACGAGATCGATAATGAAATAGGTGACAAATCTGAGCAGAAAGCAGGTGATTAGCACGCCTCAGCTTTCTTATGAAATATTTCATTCAGCATGTGGCGATCATGCTACTGATAAAGGCGAACGATATCGGTCGGGTAGGGGTTTTCTAAAAAATCTTGATCTAGTTAAGCTTGAATTTCATTGGTATCTGTACTGGGCCATTAGCATCGGCGTGTGCATGAGAGGTGTTATTTACTTTATGTATGCGGTAAATTTGGCAATCCGAAAATTCAGATGCTGATTGGGAACACTGTGAGCACAACTGAAGATGAGAAATTAAGTCTGAGTAGAATAAGGGACATTATGTTCATTCAAAAGGTGCTTCTTATGAAGAAAAGGCTGATGCGCGGATCTGAAAATGAACGAAAAAGGGAGTTAAACATAGATCGATTGGAGAACAGTGGGTATCATATAAGACAAATCATTAACTTGTGCAGTTGCAGGTGGAGTTGCAGTAGGCGAAACCGCATAGTGATAGGGTACTAAAGTAAGAATTTAAGCAGAAGTGAAGTAATAATAGTTACTGCATGATTTAAAAATCAATCGATATTAAAAATGTGAATAGTGAAACAAACAGCGATTCCTTGCCTGAAGTGTAAAGATTGACTACTCAGTCTATAAAATTTATGAACAGACAACTAAATGATCAATTTACTGAACATTTGTACACAAGAACTAACTCGTGAGGGTAACAACCATGTGAATGGGGTAACGCTAAAAGAATGTTTCAGCAATTACATTCTTCAATTCAGTGTATACCAGCAGGTCGCGTCGGTACTGTATTCTACTACGTTTCTGAGCATTTCAGCGACGTGTAGCACGACTGAAATTATAAAATATTGTTCTTTTTTTTTATTGCGTGCACGCAAGAAGCTGCATCAAAAAGTCTGTTTTTGAGTCAAAAAAAACGAATTAGAAAATAAGGAAGTTTTTTTCTGCAAAGCGTTTGTTGCATCACAAAATACAGTTATGAAGTAGTTTTGTGTTGCTGAAAAATTGGTTAACTTTTGAAATCTGAAGTACATTAAAATTTCGGAAAAGGTAATTTTGTTTTAGACGATTTTTTTCTGTGTTTTTCTGACTTTTGGCCACATCATCTGTTGTATACCGATCGTGTTGAATTAGATTTCTTGCCTCTGAGGCATTTGACTGCGTTTGTTATTTTATGAACATCTTAAGATGACTCTACTTTGGTGCGAATGCGTAGGGAATAAGCTAAGAGAACACGAAAGCTGCACATGTTATAATGTACATAATCAGAAATGTGTATATTAATGAGCATACGTAATAATTTACTAATTGAATCAAACAATGGTAAATGATTGAAAACGGAACTGTATTACTATGGTATGATATCATTTTTTTATTATCAAGTATTTTAGATAGTAACGAAATGGTCTATCGAAGTTAAGAGGCCGTGATTTTCGGAAGCAACATGGATCTGTTGTAGAATAATCCCGAAGATCCTGTAATAATATTAATAAATATATATGTTCTGTTTTTCTGTAAAGCTTTTATAGTATTTTTAGATATTAATGATGTTTTCCCAGGTTTTCATTTTTTTATTTATTTAGGAGGCTCGGATTCTAGTGTCCTAGCTAAATCAACAAATTTAATAATAAATCTGTTTATCATCTTTGTTTTAAAAACATTCAGGTAAAATTAGTGTGTATGTATCACGGTAGATGCTATAATACAATCAAAATTCAAAGCACAAATATTTTTTTGGTTTTTATTGTTTTTACAAGTCTATATACCTACATTAGACCAACTCTGGGATCAACATTTAAAAGATGGATGAATCAAGCATTTGCCTGTTCAGACAATTGTACTAAAAATAACAAAAAAAAACATTAAAAAAACCTCCAATAGTACTGTTGAATTTGTTTTTAATCTTCCCACTGATATTTCAATGTTTTGCAAAAGAATATTTAACTAACCGTCCAAATCATACCTTCGACATGACTCGTAAATACGGCACTATTCAATTAGAGTAAAATTCCTTTATTTTCGTCATTTTTTTTGCGTATTTTTTCATATGGAAAGGCAATTAAGGTTTAAGAAGATCTTTGATTTTGGCGGAGTATAGCTCGCTCCACATCAAATATAGGTTTGGTAATCTTTCTATCATTGCAAGTTCATTGATACCATTAGTTGTATCGTCAACATCTTCATCGTGCCAATCGTGAGTATGCCCCTTCCTACTCCTTTGTCTGTTCATCCTCTTTCTTTGTATTTTCATTTTTCACGCGCCTATGGGTTCCTCAGTATTATAATTACTTATTTTTACCTCTGTTGTTATTTTTCTTTAATTCTTCCTTATACTTAGGCTGTTGCTATTATCTTATTTGCTTATTGCACCCGAGGAAAGAAAGGTAATATAGCATCCTTTCTTTCAATACGATTTCCATTTCCTGTTTTTTTTTAGTCTCTTTACAGTGGGGTGGATCTTATATTTCTGAAATATATAGCAATTAACATCTGTCCTAATATACTATTTGCTTATTGCTTATACCCCGGTCAGGTCAAAAATATAAAGACATTTATGGATACCAGAAAGTGATAGTCTGGTAGGCGCTTCGGCATAATGTTTGTGGTATCGTCTGATGAATTTAAGAAGATGTTCTGTTCAGACAGGCACATTATATACAATTGAAAACAACGAGCGTCTCATTTTAGAAAGTTTTTAAAACTTTCGTTTTTTTGAAATATCTGTTGGTACAGAAAAAAACACTTGTTTACTCAGCAAACTATATTAGACGGGAGCTCTAATGATGAGTTGTATTAGTAAAGAACATACAGACAACCATGATAATCTTAAGAGCACGGAATATTAGCTTTCACTAAAAACGTCCTACTCATTAGATCGAATCAAGCTAAGAATCTTAACACCAATACTGTTAATAACAAGTCAGAAAACGTACAACGTTAACAGTCATGTATCCTACGTGTAGGTGGTGTTAACAAATCAAAAAGTGATCTTTTTGTTTCCCAGTCTTCGCCAGGACGTAAACACCATTTGGAAGCTGATTCGCATACAAAAAGCCCTGCAATTTCTGGGCTTACGAGAGTCGCTAGCTTTGACCCATGTGGTATTATGTATTTTATATATATATATTATATAATATATATATATATATAACGTATTATTTAGTATAAAATAGCCTAAAACCAGTAATACGGCTAAGTATCTTCTCAGTATACCAAATTAGATAGAGCCCCCGCGACTTGCATGGCAGGACCCATTTTCACAGAACCAAGGGTTTTGCATCACTCGGCTGGCTCAGGGGATAAACGTATTGTTAGTCGCCATTTCGATTTAGAATCAAAATCAGTAGTGGGTTCAAGGTGGAACTTCATAGAAAAATTTTTGGGAAAAAATATTCTAAACACCTATTAACGACGAAACACAACGCTTTGTGAATGGAAATTAATTGTACTGTGGGAAAACGCACTGCCGCCTTGGGGCAGCTAGTTAACTAAACAATAAAGTAAGGCTTTTAGGGCGCGCAATTCCGCGAGAGATTTGAGAGTTTTGGGATTTTCGGTATGGGATGAGTAGGACAAAACGATACTTCATTTTATTAGGTATTTTATGACGATTTTGTCGTGTTTTCCCCGTCCTTCTTTCTATTCGGGCCGTGTGTTCACCGAGTCGGCCATATTTTGACGACGTATTTTATCTATCACCACACATCCTACTGCACATTTTTAAAATTTTTTCTTGCTTTCGTATCGGTTTTCGCCCGCTGCCTTCTCGTAATTGTTTCCTCGTTCCCTTCGGCTTTACTGAGCTTTTCAGCTTCTTTTTCGTCACAGTTAATAATATTTATATATACATATCTGTGTGCAATCACATATCGAACCTCGTTTTCTTGCACACTTTTCCTATTTGACTCAAGTCTCGTCGCTAGATGTTGTATCTTCATTCGAAAGATGATTACAACAGTACTTCATACATAGTTTAATAGTATGTGAGGAGTACTAAAAATGGGAGCTCATGACTCGTAGACAGCCCATGGGTTTACAGGTAGACTGGTATCTATCAATCAGCCAGTGACATAGCCATCGAAAGTACGTAGGATCTGGCTTATTATCACACAATACAGTAACAACGTATAGGGATGCCTCTTTTCCAACTCTTTGGGTCCATTATGGGTTTATGCCGTTGTCAAAACACCACTATTTGTCATATTCGTAATAAGTATCTTTTCTCGCTTTAAAGTAGATTATGCCGAATTTTATTCTCTGCTTAAGTGTGTTTGGTACTTCGTATCTTTTTCCTATTTTTTTTTCCAATTACATCTATCAAAAATACAAAAAGCACTCCACTTATTGGACTGCTGTACACATTGCAATATAATTACTCATTTATTTGTAAAGTTTTCTGCAGCAGAACTATACGGAACACATGAGTTTGTGTCCTTAATTGCGGGCGGGCGCTGCTTATGAGCCACTGCATCTGTACGCATTTTGTGTATATCTTCGTTTTTATCCATGTGTGCTACCGATTTAAGAGTATTTTATTTTTAATATAAGGCCGGATGCTTAGACGAGGTTCTTTGGCATCGCTCTTAACCGATTAAATTATTTCGTTATTTTTTATGTCGCTTAAGCCCCTTCGTTCCGTTTGTGTACTTTTACTTTCACCCTCCATTTATAGCTATCCTTCCCTTGACCAATTTGATAGCAGTTAGATCGTCTGCTACTTGTTTAATTTGACCATGCCTGGATACGTGAAGTCGTATTGTTTACTCCGTATGAAAGCCTCGATGTCCTTGGGCTGCGGAGAGACTGTGGCTACCTCGGTCTTAAAGAAGTACTTGGCTAACTCCACGGCAATATTGAATGATACCTCCTGAATCTTCGATAGCGGAGGGTAGACGCGGCCTTCGTCGAGATCAGCCTGACTTACCATCTCAGCAACAGTCTGTGGAATAGAATAACGAATGACTAATGAAGATAATAAACCAGTGGTAGATTTATATTATTATTATTACATTATTATTAGAAATACATTATTATATCGTGAAAGACTAACATTGTGTCTTTATGGCGCATAGTAACACAAATATTGTATACACATGTACAAAGGAGTTTTTGTGCGGACCTAAATAAAAGCTTCCGCTGAAATTCGGTTCGAGGAAGTCACTGCTGGTGATGATAAAGTGTCTTTTGTGCCCCACATTTCACACATGCGTTTCACGGGTGCATACTGTGCGAAGGATAGCTTAGTAAAAATTAGTTTATTTTACAAGAAACTACTTTTTATTCACATCGGATCTTCATGGACTGAAATTTTACCTTGGCAGTGATAAGAAACACTTCGTCATCGATGCGTGTAACCTTGCACGCATTCACGGCTAGGGCGATTCCGGGGAAAATATAGGCGTTGTTACCTTGCCCTGGATAATAGGTTTTGCCTTCATACGTAACAGGAGGAAATGGAGAACCGGAAGCGAATACGCACTTGCCCTGTAGGGAAAGAGGCAGAGGTGTCGGTACGAAATTCGGTCATCTATACAGAATGCGTATTGATTCAGCTCGGATTAACCATGACTATTGTATTATATTCAAATTACTATTACTATTTTTTGCGTATATTTTACTGTTCATTCAAATTCCATCAATTAGTGTCAGTAACTAATTGATGTTAAGCTAAAAATCGTTTACAACCATGCGTTGACGTTGCTGGTCTGAAACAGAGCTCGAGATAGTTTCCAGCTAGACGCAGCACAGAGACCTACCTTGGTGTGGGTGAACGCATCTTCGGCCGTACATTCGGCCTTAATTGTGGGATTCGACAGCGCAAAAATAACTGGCCGCTTTGAGAACTCGAGCATGTTCTGGAGGATCTGGGCGTTGAACGCATTAGTCTGGGCCGAGGCACCGATCAACATCGTCGGCTTCACCCGCTTCACCAATTCATGTAGGTCTGTAGTGAGGGGCGCTTCCTTGGCATACTTCTTTTTGTGGTCGTTCATTTCGTCAGGACGTTCGAAACACAGAAGTCCTAACGAAGCAGAATAAACGGGACATTAGAACGAGTGTTAAGGTATCAAAGCAACTCCTTCTATAATTGCTAAAAGCGCAAGTTTGTTTGATCAACGTGAACTCTATTTATTATAAAATATCCTTCTCCAGGAAACTCTTCACAACACTGCCTTTTTTTACCTCTAGAATCAAGCATCCAGATCTTGCTTGCGGCTTCCTTTTCGGATATTCCTTCTTTGACCATGGCTTGGCAAAGGAGATCGGCGATGCCAAGTGCGGCTTCTCCAGCGCCCTGAAACAGGATCGTGTTGTCCTGAAGTGTGCGACCAGTGATACGCAGCGAGGCCATTAGACCGGCCACAGCCACGGCCGCGGTACCCTGAATATCGTCGTTGAAGGTACAGTAAGAGTCCTTGTATTTGGCTAGCAGCGTGAACGCGTTAGCATTGCCAAAATCCTCAAATTGGATAAGGCACGTCTTACCAAAGCGTTTAACAGCCGCCTGCATGAACTCTTCAACGAACTCGTCGTACATCTTTCCCCGAACTCGCTTTTCCTTGAGTCCAATGTAGAGCGGATCGTTGAGATTAGCCTCGTTATTGGTGCCGACATCCAGAGTGATGGGTAAAGTTTTCTCTGGCGGAATACCCCCGAGAGCTGTGTACAAAGCGAGCTTCCCGACAGGAATGCCCATGCCGTTCGCTCCAAGATCACCGAGCCCGAGAATACGTTCACCGTCGGTCACAACAATGCTTTCGACCTCCTTTTCGGGCCAGTTAGCTAATACGTCAGCCACCTGCAAGCAAAACCAAGATAATTTTTGTGAAAGCATCCCTTATTCAGAATATTTTATAAGCTATCGGGGAATATACTGAATACTATCCTCTGAATAAATATGTAGAAATAATGCTTTCAAGATGAAAAACCAGGCAAATTTATTAATTTTGTTTTCCGTCTTAACCCTATCTCGCAGTTCTGCTATTCGTATCGGTATAAGCGTAATGGCACGAACCTTCCCTTTATCCTTGATAGAGATGAAAAGTCCCTTCGGGCGGCGGAAGATGAGCGAATACTTAAGACAGGCATCGCCCACGGTAGGTGTATACACAAGCGGCATTAGCATTTCTGTATGCTCCTTCATCACGCGATAGAATAGCTTTTCATTATAATCCTGCAATTAATTTCCAGACAGAAAGACAGTGGCACACAATGAATGATAACTGAATCCCGCTCGAGGGTAACTATATGTTTCATAAAACAAACTAACGTAAAAACTAGCTGTTCAGCATAGGCTCTAGCTGTATAAACAAACTCTCCTGCTAGAGAAAACTATTCCTAATACTTCGGTGTTAAGGAAATAGCCCGTAGCTTCCAAAAAATCACGATATTCAAATGTTTGTGCTTTTCCGGCTCTTGAAAAAGCAATTAAATATTATGCACACGCAAGGTAGGCAAATGTAAAAGGATCCCACAACCATCAACAGTGAATTTGTGTAAAAGTTTGATTGTTCTTGTTCTAAATGATACCATGAGATTTCCACGTATTGATAACTTACGCTCAGCTCGCGAAGATAGCAATATTTTGCGAGGGGCGAGGAATAGAGGTTGAGATTCATAAGGACGGATTTCATCTCAAGCTCGGGTGTGCGGATCGCTGGCGGCAGAAGGCCTCGAACCGACATAGAATCACGGTCTCTCGAGGAGAAGGAAAGGCCCTGGAAAATAAAATGAAACATCAAAAAAAAAATAGACATTGGGATTAATTGAGCATGTCGGCATAGCCAACCTAAGCTTATTAAAGGAGGGAGAGCCGAACTGAATGTTGCCGGCAGAATTCGGTTCTATATCATCCTGTTTTCCTGTTTAAATCAACGGCATA